TTTTTTTTTTTTGCATATTATTATAAAGTTACCTTTGTAATTTTTCTAGAACTTACTTTTTTTCTGGTTAGTGAACTTCCAGTATTGTACTTCATCTTATAGCACAATATTATCCCCCATATATTGCAGATGGAATGGTCCCAGCCCGAAATTAAAGGTGATTTGGTGACTTCAAGGGCAGGTCATGCTGGTGTCACCATTGATGAAAACTGGTACATAGTTGGTGGTGGAGATAATAAAAGTGGTATGTAGATACTTGTGATGGTTGATTTCTGTTATGTTATTTGATGTGATTATGCATTCTTCTAGGTTTCATCAGTAACTTCTGTATGGCATTATTGACTGCGGTTTGCAGGTGCCACAGAAACTCTCATGTTAAATATGTCTAAGCTTGCCTTGTCAGTCTTGACAAGTATAAAGGGAAGAGATCCGTTAGCCAGTGAGGTTACCATTCTGTTCCCTTCTTTTTGCGTTTTTTTTATTGCAATTTCCTAGAAACAGAATAATACTTTGAGGGCATTAACATGTAATATCTTTAGTTTTTTTGACTGCATTTGTTTGATTTCACCAACTGATAACTCAAGCTTGGTTCATTTTATGATTGAATTAACTTTTACAAGTTCCACTACGAAGCGATCCCTAGCTGTTTATGGTCATTTGAATCCCTTGTTGCCAACTTGTTGGGGTCGCCCTCACCTTATTTTTACATCCACATGCTGAAAAGTTTGACTCTTTACATCATCATGGATCAGTTACACTACACTCAATAGCTTCTCATTGTTTAGTGAATTTCATATCAACTGTTCCCAGGCATTTTATGCAGGATTTTTGTTATACCACATATTTCTGTTGGCAGTGTGTCAGGTGGTCTTTTTTGACGTGCCTCAGTATATATTGACCTTCTGAAGAATCAGGAAGCATATGATTTTTTTTCATAAACACGTTGTTGGGTCCTTTTCATGGAAACAATCTATTATTGGTTTCCTGTTTTATCCCCACTTCGTGTCGCTTGCAATGTTGCTTATGTCAATTCCAAAATTTTCTATTTTTCATGAATGATTTAGTTGGTGCAGAAAGGCAGATCAATGCTGGGGGAAGGGATTCTTTTGTGGAAATGATTAAAAACGGTCCTCTGTCTTATGTTACTGGTTTCTGGCACAACTACGTACTCTGTGAATGATTTGGTATTAGTAATGACCAATCTCCAGATTTGACGGCTATATTCACTATCTTGAGCAACAATATATGATGCTTACTCCCATGTTCAATTCCATAGAAGTGAACATGGAAAGAATTTTGCACTTGTACATCCTCGTTTTAGGATTGCCAGGTGGACCCATCTGATTGAAACGTCCATCGTCTGAAATCTATTTTCCTCCCAAGTTTTGTTTCTTTTTTAAAGGTTGGTCTATACTTTTTAAATTCATTGTGGTACATTGCATTCCAACAATCCCGTTAATGCTTCTATGTTGGGGTATAGTTACTAAGTCATAATTTTTTCTTTCAAGGGGTATGCCTATAATTTAGATCTGGCTATGAAGGTTGAGGTATTTCTTTAAACAATTATATCAACTTAGCATAGTAGACCATCCCTTGGAGTCATACATCTAATGAACGACGATTATATCATGTTGTCTTATTGTAGGAGCTCACCATGAACATGTTCTTAAATTTCCTTCTTGTCGATCATGTTAAACTTCTCTGGGAGACAACGCGGTTTTTTCGATAGTGGAGCATCATACAGTTTCAATTCCTGGAGCTTACTTGGATTGAGAAGACATAATTTCTTTTGCACTATAAGTGTAGCTTATGAAGAGAGTGAGAAGAACACACAAATGATGAAGAAGAATTCAAGAAAAAGAAATTATATTTTCCAAACAAATATTTAATTTAATGGAACATTTTTTGAAATTCAGAGAGATTAAATTTGTTAGAAAAAACCTATAGGTTGGATAGGACGACAATTTTCAAATTGTTGGAAATAAATGGCAATTTAAGGGGAAAAAAGGGTTCAAGATATTTATTGAAGCTTGGTTCAAGATGAATGGCGATTTGGGTCAAAGTTTTGATTTCTTGATCAAAATCTTAGACCTTGGGCATCACCTTATGTGAATGATGTCTCTGCCTTTGGCTACAACTGGTCGAAGATGTCTAAATTTATCTTAGCGACTCTTTACAGAAATTTGGAATGGTTAATATTTTATTGGGTTGTGTTTACATTTGAATCATACAAATGCACATTTTCTTTTGCTGCCAGCCTGTAGTGTGTCTTTTTTTCACAATGTTATTTCTAGTTTCAATAAATTTGTGGACTATAGAGGAATTAATATTTAACGCTTTCATTTTTGTTAATAATCAATGTTTATGTTGGTAGTTTTATTTTATTCCAGGGCTTTTTATTTTATAAACATTCTTATTCATGAGTATAAAATATTATATTATTATAATACGTATGCATTTCTGTGTTGTGAATACGTTATATCTGCACACTGGAAACAGGGGCTCAGTGTCTGCTCAGCACTTGTGGAGAGCGAGAATATTTTGGTTGCCTTTGGTGGCTACAACGGAAAATATAATAATGAGGTATCTTGTAGCATTACTGTTTTTTATCTAATGAACTCCATGATTTTGTTTATCATAAAAATAAATTCTATTTAAATTTTACATTTGTGAGCAAGTACATAAAAAATTCAAAGAAATGGTATGAGCATGTAAATGATTGAAGATATAGGAGAAACAATAAGTTGGCTTTTTGGGTGAGTTGATAAATGTTTTTTTTTTTTTTGCATGAGATATGACATGGTGCTGACATTGCTCAATTTTTCACATCAATAATATCTTAAAAATATCCTTGTTTTGATTGTGCCTAATCAAAACTTTCATCAATCTTATTGTGCTTGATCCATAGAATTGCCATTTTTCATTAGCTATCTCAGCTAAATGTACTATCTTCTACTCATGTTACCCTTTTATTTAACTAATGGAATTTAAACTGGAGAAGGTTTATGATAGTACATATATTCTATGCCATTTATCTTTTTCTAAAGGGGAATGTTGGAATGCATTTAGAAAATTAAACATTTTTTAAAGGAGGTTTTGACTAGTTTCTTGGGTAAGGCATCTAAATGACTGTCTAGTGTATATCATTTACCATTTTCCTTAAAGTACAGTATTTGATTCAGGAAAGGATTTATATGAATCGATGTTCTCATTGTTGGCGGTGTCGTAGTCTTATTGTTATGATTCTGTTGCCATTCTAATTGTTGTGGTGTTTGTGGTAGTTATTAATATCAGACTTTCTACTTTTTTTTTCTTAGGGTGATGGATATATTTGGTACGAGTTATCCATGCATCCAATTCTATTTACCAGAAATTGAATGATTTAAATATGGAATCACTTTGATGAAGTCCAATAGGAAGCAGTTATATAAACTAGATTGTACATGCACAGACAATACAAGGTTGTTAGGAAGATAGATTACCTGATTGGTTTTAGATGGTTGCGTTTGTGATGTATAAATAAATTAACAAACAATGAAATCCCTGTATAATGCTTCTATTATGCAACTTGTTTGTGAACCTGTATATGGATCAATCCCATGCCCAGTCCTGACAGAATCTTACCACATAGTCCATTGCTCCTTGTAAGGCTGCTCCAGATGAATCTTGAAATCAAGTCACTACATCTTAGTGAAATTTGGAGAACTTGGATTTATAGTATATGATGATTAATCGGGTAAAAAGAAACTTGTGCTTCTTGTGCTTCCTGTGCTTGTTAGTGATGACATAAAGTTTGTCTACCTTAATACCACCACTTAGGAAAACCAGTGTGAAAATGTTTAATATGCCCAACTTTTATGTGAAGGGTTTTTTATGATTTGCAATACAAGGTTAAAGACTCGAATCACTATCGGTTTTAACATGGCGAAAATGTTTATCATGCCTAGCTTACCTTTGAACAATGTTAAATAGCTCTGCCATATCTTATGAGACTACTGACTATTGATTTGAAGCTTGATAACCAGCTGTAATACTGTTGTATTTAATATGATCAGAGTGCATAATGCTTTTGATGCTAGTACCACCATTATTCCAACTGAAGTTAATTTATTTTGAAGTACAGATATTCAGCTGGGAATCAAAATTTTGTTATCTGATGTGACTTGATTACTCAGAACCAATGGCCAACCACTATAAACTGGCAAATTGCCTCAAGAGACATTATTATTTTTAGTGACCATAGTCAGAATAGATCTTTGCTCAGAATAGATTTGGAAAAACCTCGCAACACCATCGGCTTCAGTTTCCCCGAGTGTTTTTTATACTTTTCTCCCTCTATTCTTGTCTATTTCCTACTAAAAGAAGGAAACTGTTTATGTTCCTCCCATTCTTGTCCTACCATCGTTCCTCTTATGACTTGGAGTCATTTTAACTGACAGATAAATTACATTAAACAGTTTAGGTAGCTTAAGATGCTTTTCTTGTAAAAAATATCACGATAATACAAATATAATAGCAAGGGAAAATTGCAGCACATGGAGTTTAACATAGTNACAGTTTAGGTAGCTTAAGATGCTTTTCTTGTAAAAAATATCACGATAATACAAATATAATAGCAAGGGAAAATTGCAGCACATGGAGTTTAACATAGTAAAAGAATGAAATCAGTTTTGCTTCACGGAAGCACTGCTTTGGAAGAATTGTTTGAAATGATAGGAAAATCAAACCAATTTTGCTTCACAGAAGACTGCTTTTGAATATCTGACAGAGTTGTCTTACATGCATCTATGTTGATGTAAGGTTCTATTTTCGTGTAATGTTCTGATTTGTGCTATATCCCCTGATGTTTTGTACGCCTGACATTCATTTTTGTTAGTATTTTTCATAATTTTTACAAACTGATGCTTCAATGTTCCTTTAGTTATTTATTTTTTGGTCTGGATTTCCAGTATGGACAATCTTTCTTTTTCCTGATATTTCAGTTCAGTTCATCATTGCATTCTCTGATATGGTTTCTGTATGCCCTGGAATTCTAGGTATTTGTTATGAGGCCCAAACCAAGGGACTCTGCACAACCCAAGATTTTTCAATCACCAGCTGCCGCAGCAGCAGCAGCTTCTGTTACTGCTGCATATGCCCTAACCAAATCTGAAAAGTTGGACTTTACCCACCTAGAAGATTCAAATCCTAAGTTAGTCCAAGTTAATAGCTTCCAGCGGGATCTTTCAGCTGAAATCAATGCAATTAGAGAGGAGAAAAAGGTGTTGGAATCATCACTTGCTGAAGTCAAATCAGAAAATTCTGATCTCATGGCTAAGATTGATGAAACTAAGAATACTTATGCTGAATTGTCCAAGGTATGCTAACTATGATAGATTGGTAATTAGTAATTGTCAACCATTCAAAGATCAACCTTGTAATCAATATCACTTTTTGCTGCAGGAACTCCAATCTGTTCAAGGGCAACTGGTAGCTGAGAGATCAAGATGTGCTAAACTGGAGGTATTTCCCTTTTTTTATTCTCTCTTGTAGTAGCTAAGTGAGCCAAGGGCATGCTTGTTTCACAGATAAAGAGATGTAGGGTTGTACCATCTAATCCAAAGCAATCCATTCCGACTGGCTTCAATCTCGGATTAGTCTAGATTATTTTCCANATGTAGGGTTGTACCATCTAATCCAAAGCAATCCATTCCGACTGGCTTCAATCTCGGATTAGTCTAGATTATTTTCCAATCCCTTGTTTGGATCAATGATTTAGTATGTGTGGATGTCCAGAAAGGAATCTTTACTTCCTGTAAAATATCATTTAACTTAAATATCCTTCAATTCTCAATCAATTCTCCTTTGATGGCCCCCATACTATCATACAACAAAAAATTGTATTACAGTACCCTTCAGTTTACAGTAACAAAATGCTGATGATCCACATTGAATGGCTCCTCTCACTCCGCAATTTAGCCCATCCACATTATCTTGAAAAGAGCCCCGAGCATTGTTGTGCCCGAAATCTTAAAATCTGATCCAAAAATGAATGAGTGCAAAATAAATATAAATAAGGTAAAATACCTCATCCAAAAAGAGTTTTTTTTTTTTTTTTATCTTTACAAATTCAAACAGGAACATGTGTTACTTGGACTCCTATCACAGCTACGATACCATTCAAAATTTAAAAAACAATACCTATTGGTCAGAACCACTGGGTAGATTGTGGATATCGCCGGAGGTGATCTTGCCAAGCTTCAAACTGCAAATTGCTTGATAGTCTCCTTCTTTTTTGACTTGGACCTCTCCTCTTTCGTAGGGACGATGCTAGGGCTTGGGTTAGTGAGAGAAGCCACAGATATGTATTTTTAAATATATATACAGATATATTGGGCCTATTATGGTCATTTGATGAATTTTATACCACCTCCCCTGTGTGTTCTGTTACACGGGTTTTAGGCCACTGTGGATACCAGGCCGGTATATTATTGTGTCCGGCTCCCCCCGGGACCAAAAAGACAAACCAAACAAGGGGGACTACTTTACTTTATCCCTGTGCTGAATGTTGGGAATGGGTTAGCGTTTTCACATTTTTATTTGAACTTCGACTTTTTTTTGTTCATTTGGTGTGAGATAATTGATTTTCTTTTCTTGATTGACAATTGTGTCCTCAGGCACAGATCTCAGAGCTACAGAAGACGCTGGAGTCAATGCCGTCCATAGAGCAAGAGGTTCAATTACTCCGGAGACAGAAATCTGCATTGGAACGTGATATGGAGCGTGCTGCACCAGTCCAGAGACAAAGTTCTGGTGGTGTTTGGAGGTGGATAGGTGGATAGGTGGATAGTGGGGAAACTTGCAACCCATTGAATTTGCAAGGTCAGTACCTCAAACTTATAATGTGTTACCCGGCAAAAGTAAAATTTTCNGCGTTTGGAGGTGGATAGGTGGATAGTGGGGAAACTTGCAACCCATTGAATTTGCAAGGTCAGTNGTGTTTGGAGGTGGATAGGTGGATAGGTGGATAGTGGGGAAACTTGCAACCCATTGAATTTGCAAGGTCAGTACCTCAAACTTATAATGTGTTACCCGGCAAAAGTAAAATTTTCAGCGGCCGGGACTTTTGTGAAGCAACAGTTGAGTGTAGTCTTGCCCTTCTTTCTTGGTAGAGGGTGTGAAATTCATATTTTTAGTTGCTTTATACAACCAACTCTTTCTTTTATACATAGCTTCCGTGGTGTGTGTAATAGCAACTAATCAATCATGTAACATTTGTGACCTTTTTTGTACCATAATTCATTTGATTTGTTTTTTGGGACTAAATTTTATTTAGTTGGTCTTGAATAACATTTCTAAACTTAACCACTTGGATATAATCTGGTGTTCTTGTGTCTCAATGGAAGACTTGTGGTTGTGGCTGCTGTTGATTACATCACTTTTGAAAGTAGACAAATACTTAATGTAATCTAAACAGAATTGAACTGCTCTGCATTCATACTTTTGTTGGTTTCTCCAATTGTGTTCCCTTTCCCTTTCATAAGTATACACCTCTTCTATGCATATTCTATGAGACTAAATCAGTAAGTTAAACCATATCACTAGTAATTTCGGCTTAATCGAGACAACTGACAAGGAATTTTAAGACATTGCGTAAAAAATATGGATCTTAAAGCTATTTTTTGGAGACCCAATTAATCAAAACTTATTAAATTGAGAAAAACAAGTAATGTCAATAAAAAAAAATTAACATAAAACTCAAACTTTAGAGAAGTGTGGAGTGATGGGCTTGAGACCATCTAATCAATAGCTAATTTATAGAGCTTGGTGCAACAAGTAGAATGTCTATTGACCCCTATAGTATCGTGTCATTTTGGGTTTTTTCAGGACTAAGATACCTTTCATTTTTAATAACTAGATTCGACACTCATAGGTTTCCGTAAATTAAATATCCAAGTAATCAACTTATTAGCAAAATTGNATTAACATAAAACTCAAACTTTAGAGAAGTGTGGAGACCATCTAATCAATGGCTAATTTATAGAGCTTGGTGCAGCAAGTAGAATGTCTATTGAGCCCTATAGTATCGTGTCATTTTGGGTTTTTTCAGGACTAAGATACCTTTCATTTTTAATAACTAGATTCGCCACTCATAGGTTTCCGTAAATTAAATATCCAAGTAATCAACTTATTAGCAAAATTGAAGAAAAAAATGTCTAATTCTGTGGCAAGTCCATGGCCCATTGGACCCTATTAAATGAAGAAATGAACAAAGTACAATCAAACGGGCTTGCTTATGATTTGTCTGGAAGCAAGCCCGGTCCAGGTCAGGTCAGGTCAGCTCAATAGGTTGACCACGATTTATTATGTCTCCTCCATTAACACATGGACTTCAAGGATAAAGGTAATAGGAGTGACATCTTTAAATTTATTTAAGGGTAAAACACACACCCATTNCACATGGACTTCAAGGATAAAGGTAATAGGAGTGACATCTTTAAATTTATTTAAGGGTAAAACACACACCCATTATTTATGAATGAGTCTTTCGACCATAAATGATAGATGATCTATTTTTGAATTTTTTAAAATTGAAAAAAAATTAGTAAAAGAGATTGATATCTAAGGGTCTGTTTGATTCATAACAAAAAAAATAATGGAAAGAGAAAGAGATAAAAACTGAAATGAAAGAAAATATATTTTCATACATGTATTTGGTNGTAAAAGAGATTGATATCTAAGGGTCTGTTTGATTCATAACAAAAAAAATAATGGAAAGAGAAAGAGATAAAAACTGAAATGAAAGAAAATATATTTTCATACATGTATTTGGTTTAGCATGAAAAATTTCTAAGAAAATTTTAAAACAATCTCATTCCATTGTTTAAAAAAAAAAAAGTTATAAAAAAATTTTCTAATTGTTTAAATTATCCTTAATTATTTTAACTCGGTTTAAAGAAGAAAAAAATATTTTTTATTATTCAAATTTTAAAAAAATTGGCTCCTTCAAGAACAAAGATTGACTTCAACCTTAATCTCTAAACCAAATTATATGATTAGCCTAATTTGTACATATTTTTTTTAAAATTAATAACTAATTGAATAATTTAAGAAAAACAAAAGGAAAATGAGAAATAAAGTTATTGAACACAACTTTATTATTTTTTTCTTGTGTTTTTTGTAAGAAAAAAAAGTTCGTTAGATGTGAGAAAATCTATTTCATACTAAGCAAACGCATGTAAAATTTTAAAATTTTTTCTTTCTTTTATTTAACATTATCTTACTAAACAAATGGACCCTTAGGGCTATTTCTTAATAGAAGTTGTGATCTCGCATAATTAAACTGAAGGGAAGAATGAAGAAAGTTTAATGTTATGCATTTTTAATTGCTTAATAAATTATTTATATTTGTATACTTTGAGTTCCATTTTTAAGATTATATATACAGATATCCATCATCTAAGTGTTAGAAATACTTGTGATCAGGTTCGGACGAAGTTTTCTTTTCCACTGAGGAATGAGGTTAGTTCCTAAAATCCGTTATATATACAGATAAATTCTCAATTTTTTTTTCTTTTTTTCTTTTTTTTTTTACAAGTTTGATGGGTTGATAATGGTGGGTGGCAATCCTTAACCTGATCTGTAAAGCTGACACAAAAACGCATATAATTATCGGGTACATATTTTGTTTCAACAAAATTGGTTATATTCAAAATAGTTTATGATGAGACATGAGTTGACAGACCAATCACCAGAAGACGCAAGACGTATATCAAGATGGGGCCCATCAAACAAACCAAATCCCCGGGTATCCTTGGACCGAGAAGGTAATCAACGAGTCAAGCATCATTAAACCAAACCTCACCAGACCCAAGAACATCCTTGCAGTCGTTGGCCCCTGTAGTATCCTAGGTTGGAATTTTTTTTTGTATATTGGACTGTCATTGATTGATAATTAATTTTCGTTTGTAAAAAATAGGTAAAATTTATGATTCAATGAGATGAGTCTAATATTATTAAATAATTTATTTTAATAGACTTATGTACATCTTTTAATTGATGTGGTTGAAGTGATTAAGTGTAAACCTTAATCTAATTGTAGTCCGTAATGGGTGAGCCCATTAGATTTTATTATAAATAACAAGCTAGGTCACATCTTCATTTCATAACTCTAATTTGATTTGTCTCATTGAGAGGCGTCTATTGCTTTGAAGAAGAAGAGGAAGATCTTGTCATTTCAAGAAAGAAATTTGAAAATCGTGTATCAAGGATTATACAGATATATTCTAAACCTTGTAATTTAAGTGTTCTAAATTTCTTCAATAGCCATGGCTCACATACAGGCGTTGACACAGTAGGCAAAAGCAGCAAGCATTCACTGAAATTTTTTTTGAATGTAATATGCCTGTTTGTTGAAAAATTAATTGCTATAGACAATAAAAAAAAAAAAAAAAAGTGTGAAAGCATCTTGGATAGCGCCAGTAGGTCACAAGAAGAAGAAAAAAAAAGTTGCAAGAATCGTGATGGCTGCTAGTATGTCACAAGAGAAAAGTTATAACTTTTTTTTTTATTATTCTTTATTCTTCTCTACAAATTGTATACAACTGTTTTGTTCAATTGTTGTGTTATATTAAATGGTGGGGTTGCTATTTTATTTGATTATGTCATATATTCGGTCAACTTATTAATACCTATTAGTTATTTATGGGTCTTGTTAACGAATAGATATATAATTTATCCATACAAATGATTTTTTCTCTCATGCTTATGTAGCTTAGATTGAATTGTTATAATTTGTAGAGGGTGTTAGTACAATTTTAATTTTAGTCCCTAGTAATTTATATGATGAAATTTTTTATAATCTACATATTATTATTAATGTTGGTAGATTTGAATTTAATTACTAAATTTTCAAAAGTAAAAATATAATTGAGACCTGAATGCAACGATTGATGAGTAGTGATCTAAAAAGATACATATTGATTAGTACCTCATATTGATTGATCACATGATGTTTAATTAAGGACAATTTATTATAATATCCCAATTTGAGAATTTCTATGAATTAAGATAGATGGTTGCCACCAAAGTGGTCTATTTATTAAAATTTATAGTTTTTTTCATGCTTTTGTTACGGGATTGTCTCTAAATTATAATATACAATTACCTGCCCAAAGGGGGTTGTTGTGTGTTGTAATTTGGAGATGTCATAAAACATTGTGATAAAGGCGCACTAGTGTAGAAGGTTTATCTGTCCAAATGGGATAAATTTTTCAAAACTTGAGCATTCTTATTAGTTAGTTTCATGAAAGAGGGGACCTATAACATATTGTATTCTCTGTCCAAAGGAGAGTTTGTAGTGAGATATTTGAATTCTTTTAATAAAATATGACTTATTATGTTCAAAGCATATTTTATTTTATTTATTGCCCAATTTGCTAATTGTTTATAGTCTCGTTGTCTTGTATAATTTTTTTTGTTGTGAATAGTAATAATGTCAACATTGAAGTCTTAACTGATTCTAATTATAAGAGATGGAAACAAGATATTGAGTTTGCCTTGGAAATTGCTGATATAGACTTTGCCTTGAAAGAGAATGAAACTACTAAACCTACTAGTGAGAGTTCTCTTCATGAAAAAGAACTTTATGCAAAGTGAGAGAAATTTAATAGGCTGAGTATGGTTGCCATGAAAAGCTTTATCTCTGAACACCTTATGAATGGCTTGCCTGAAACTAAGAATGTCAAGGAGTTGTTCACCGTTGTAGGAGAGAGATACAAGGTATCCAACAAGACTGAAGCTAGGAGTCTAATGAATGAATTAACGAGTATAAAATATGACA